TGATACATGTCAAAAATAGATTAAGCGTGGCATTCAAATCGGCGAGGAACAGGGTAAAAAATCAGAGAAAATTGTAGTGGCAAAGGCAATGCTTGCTGATAACGTGAACATTTGCTAAATTCACGGCTTAATCAAATTAAAAAACTTTACAAGGTGAATATTTTATAGGCACCATATGAACCGAAAGTCAGGTTCATATGGGCTTAAGTATGGGTTTATCTGGTTATAATGGTGTCGGTTGGTAGGTTTATGAAATTTTTATCAATTGCAAGCTCAATTTATCTGCTTGACAGTCTTGAATAATGTATTATCCTATCATTAATATAAATTATTAGAAAAATAGCTTGATTGTTTTTTAAGCTAATAATATAATAAGTAATCAATATAAACTTAAAAGGGGGTGTATTATGCGTAGTGGCGACAATACTAAGGTTCAGCATAATTCTAATGAGCTGAATCCAGAAACGGCACCTGGTCAAGGTGTTCAACCAGCAGCAAGTATAGATAATAACAGTGCTAGTGCTACGCCGGTTGTGAAGAAGGATGCAAGCATACAAGAGCAACCGTCAACAGGTGATAACAGTGCTAGTGCTACGCCAGTTGTGAAGAAGGATGCAAGCATACAAGAGCAACCGTCAACAGGTGATAACAGTGCTAGTGTTACGCCGGTTGTGAAGAAGGATACAAGCACAAAGACTGAAGAAGTTAAAGGTGATGTAAGTAGTCAGGCAGCTGCAAAAAAAGACCATCCTAGTCGATTAACTACGGATGTTGATGCTTTATTTAAAGCTCTTGAAGATAATAAGGTTATTTTCCGTGATTCAGAATCAAAGGAAAGGCTAAAAAAAGCATTTAAGGAAGCAAAAGACTACAACTCACTGATTGAAAAAGCCGGAAGTAAGCAAGTGGAGATTTGCATAAATGCCTGTGGTTATGAAGGAGTTAAGCAGCATATAAGTGAATCATTAATAAAAAGCTGTGAAGAGTCTGTAACCAAAGCTGTAGAAATTGCGGATAAATATTTTGGAGGTGGGCGTAGTGCTTACTATACAAAGAGCAAAGATAATAAGCTGAATATTTTGAACGTTTTTCTTACTAGTAATGTAAATGAACCAACAAAAATTAGTGATCTTTTAGAAAAAGAAAAAGGCATAGATAAATTAAGAGTATATCGCCTAGGAAAGAAAGAAGTAGTTGCTAGTAGATCTAAAAAGGATGATATTGACATAAGGAATTATAACTTTAAAGAAGGTGCAAACTATGAAATGACAATCACATGGGCTGTAGAAACCACAAGTGGGATTTCAATACTCACTATGGTTGTAGGTGTGGATAAGAGCGGTATCACTAAATTTTATAGTTGTGCGCAGGATGGTGAGCCGGTTAACAATCCAAATATAAAAAATTTGTTGTATTTGACAGAGCAAAATCAAGAGTTATGTATTAATGGCAAGTCTCTACATGAGACGTTCAAATTGTTTGTTATGGGAAGGAATAGTGAAACTTTGGTACAAAAACCTGTAACTAATGGTACAGTACAAGGTGTTCAGCCAACCAATAATGTACAAAGTAATGCTGCTACTCAGCCAGTTGATAGCACGCAAAGTAGTGTTGCTCCTCAGACAGTTGATAGTGCACAAACTACTCAGCCAGTTGATAGCACGCAAAGTAGTGTTGCTCCTCAGACAGTTGATAGTGCACAAACTACTCAGCAGTCAGCCAATAATACGCAAACTGGTGGTGCAAAAACTACTGCTATTAAGTCAGACAATAGTACTCAAACTAGTGATGCATCAAAAGATGCTTCTTGGGTTGAAAAAGAGGCAAACAGAAAGACAGCAAAAGGAAACACTATTGGTGTTGTTGTATAGATAGGTAATTTTTATAAGGTCTAACAATAATTGTTAGGCCTTAGCTTTACAAAGTTGAAATCTGACAAAGGTAGCTG